CCCGCCGCATATAAATGCGATGTTATCAAAAAAATAAACCGGCATAGTCCGAATTCGGTCAGGCTGATTTCTATGTGAATTTATTTTATTAATTTTGTATTTTACTGCATAGAGATTCAGATGTCCTAGGAACGGTTATATGAGAGAGAGTTTCAAAAATCATTCTAGCTGAACCTTTCCGAATTTGGACAAAGCATATTTATTTTTTTGATACCACTTCATAAAAAGTAAGCCTTTGCATGAAAATAATGTATTATTTTTGGTATATTATTAACGAAACGAGTGAGTAATACTAGGTGAAGTGATGCATAGTATCTAATGGTCCGCCTTGCCTAACTATAATGTCCTCACTTGTTTTTCTTTTGTCATTAGCCTCGTTTATATTGCTTGTAAGAATTTCATATGCAATAGCATAAAATTTTAGTTAAGAAATAGCCGGCTGAGTGGCCGAAGATGAGCAATCTCGACTAGCAACTCAATGGTAGTGTGTTCGAATCTGAAGTGCGCAAGAGTTTTTAATAAAGCCGACAGCCCTAAATGCAAGTGCTTTAAGATTTTAGCCTTACAATTTATTTCTTTAGCTAAATTATTAATAATAATAATAATAATAATAATAATAATAATAATAATAATAATGATAATAATATTATTATAGAAATATATAAAAAGTTGAAAAAACTTACTTAGAGAATATTAGGATATTTATTTAATCGCACAACACTTCATATTACATATTCACACATTTTAAATCCAGTAGTAGATTTCTTTCCTTGATTGTGACAATTGAATATTGCCGCAGGCATTTCTAAGCTCTTGTGTCTATAAAGTGTTGAAAGAGTTAATGAAAACCACATTTGATGCATTTTTTTTTTATTCCCTTTGTTATTATGCGCTTTATTTGATGAAACAACCGACAGGAAAAACATCGAAAATCATTACTTGCTTTCATTACCTATTCGAAAATGCAAAAATTGTGTTTTTACCAAGAATTAGGCGATATTTATATCTATCTATCTAACCGCTCTCATTGTAACAAATATGTGATTTTCGTATCGTGTCGTATATTCATGGTACTGCCACGTCCACTGTATGTGTTTACTAAAACGTCAAATCGATCACACATTTGTTGTTGTTTGCACTATACCAATTTTAGCTTAGATGGAAAATGTGTACATACAACAAGTCCAAGGTGATGGGTATAGGCGTATAACAGTTTAACTCGTTCATGCTCGAATTAATTACTATTTGTATATAACGTCTTGTTTATATCTGACATTCATACGAATGCAATACTAGTTTTTGTATTTACGATATCGTTACATAAAGACCTTTACACATCTAATTAAACACTAAAGAGATTTCATTTCTTTTCATTTAATTTATATCTTACTTATTATACATAAATATATGCATTTATAATGTATATATATATGATATATGATACGTTATCTTTTTAATGATTTTCGATTTGATTGTTTCTTTTCTTTTTTTTTTTTTTTTTTTTTTTTCTTTTTGTTCTTTCCCTTGACTTACGTTTACTCCTAGCTTTTGTGTGTGTGACTATTGTGTTGTTGGACACAATCGCAACTAATGTACTACTGTTCTTATTGTCCTTCTCACCTGTATCAGCAACAGTGTTTAATTACTAATTAAAATGAAACTAGTTAGCGTCCGTTTTCTTTTACTTACTTAGTCGTCTCTTTTTAGCACTCTTACGATCGTATTTAACTAAGTTGTAAAGAAATTGATGATAATTGTTAAAATATTCTTTATTTGTTTTTTACTAGTTAGGGAAAATATGTTTATATTCTATATAAAAATACGCTATGTATAGCTATGTCTTATCGCTTTTGGGTAGTCGAAAAAATATTGAGCTTTTAAGAAATCATAATACGTATGAATATCCATTTCATTTTTATACCGTTCATACTCATACATATTAAAAGTTAAGTTGTAATCAAGGCCCTCTATACCTCTATACAATGCTATATATCTTTCCCTGTTATTGATTAGTGTGAATAAGTGTAGGCTCAATAGATTTTAGATTATTTAAAATAATAATTATGATAGATTGCAATAAAAAAAAAGATAGATCCCAAGTCATTACAATCGAAACTTGTTATGTAAAATTCATTTTATCTCGGATGTATACAGTTAGATAAAGTCAGATATGTGTAGCTTTGAAAAGGCGCACATCCGTATATATATGATGTAAGTTCCGAAGCAGCAGGAGTTTTTCTTTACATATACCAAGTTATTGTCGGACGTGTTCGCAGCCTTTAGACACATTTCAAAACAATTACAATATAAGAATTAAAATTTTATTATTGCGCACAGAAAGCTTTGTAGTTCTAATGAGAGATTTGGCAAAAGTTTCTAAGAAGATATTGTAAATAAAAATAAATTTATAAATAAGATTTATATATATATTATATATATATATATATATATATATATATATATTATATATTTTCACAACTTTCTGTTGTTATACATATGCATATGTATATTGTTTGTTTGTTTAATTCACTTTATATTCCTTATATATCTATGTATATACATATATATATACATAAATATATATAAATATTCTTCTCTACTACAACTATTATTCCACTCTACTACTACTGCTACTATTACAATTTATCTACTCTATTATCCAACCAACCAACAAATCAACCACCATCACCACCAACAAATCCCAAACATCAACCACAACGTGCGTGCGATGCGAGTGGCCCTCATTCTCTTCTCTCTATTCGTCTAAAATTTGTAATGAACAATAAACGAATACGTCTATGTACATATATATATGTATGCATATATATATATATGAAAAACGATGTGATTGATTGATATATGAATGATTAAATCAAATTTTCACTAATAAAACAAAAATAAAAAACTAAAAATAAAAAATAATCACAATAAAAAAAACAAAACGTTTTAAAAATGAAAAATGAAACCGAAAACGAAAAAAAGATTCCACGATGAGGAACACGCGAATTTGCTAAACTCTATGTGGCTCACAGCCATTACATTTCTGTGTGTTGGTTATGGTGACATAGTGCCAAACACGTATTGCGGACGCGGCATAACTCTCACCTGCGGCATGGTGGTAAGTACACATACAACTAAACCAAACCAAACTCAACAGCACCAAAACAACTGCCAATAAACATAAACTATTTAGCGACTGACAACGAATGTTACAATTTATTTACTTACTTGTATATATGTAGATAGATATGCACTGTGTATATGGATAGATGATACGTGCGTGTGCGAGTCCGTGAATAGGAGTGGATGTACACGCGGCTTGTGCGCCACCATCTATTTCATCCAAATTGTTCAGATATCAATTTCTTTATTATTTTTCGCGTGCTTTCAAATCAATCCGGATTTGTCATCAACGTTTACATGTTATACCGCATACAACGTACGGCTACGACAAAAAGGATATCTGTTAGGATTGTTGACCACCATGACAATATGTAGCATTAATGATGACGTTGACACGCAACTGCTAATGACAGGCAAATGTTAAACAATCAACGTAAACTTTTTAATTGTTTATTGCCACAAAATCTGAGCGATAAGCTGTATGTGCAACCAAAAGCAAAGTAAAATGGTTGGTTTTTTAAAAAATCTGTTTTAGGATATTAATCATATATAATAGATAATCGCGCCTTTGTGATCAATTCATTAAATAAAGTTTTTTCTTCTTCTTTCATTTATTAATTAAGTTCTATGGATTTTTTTTTCTATTTTAATTTTCTGTTTTTTCCATATTTAAATGCATTTCTCACATGATATTTGGTTGTGTATGTATAAACGTGCGTGTATGTGTGTGTGTGTATTTCATGTAATGTCACATTCCAAATTTTCCTATTCCTATGCGTGCTTATTAATCTTTACTCATTATATATTTATTAAATTTACATTCCTTCATCTTCCTCACCCACTCTCCCAATCACAAGAATGTCTAATGAGATATTAAGCCTCACAATAAGAAAACGCTAATTCATTTAGAAATGTCACTGCTCAGGCAGACCGAATAAATGATAAATAAAAATCACATATATATAAATATATATGCATATATATACGATGAATATATATATATATATATGTATATATATATATGGAAATTGATTTTCTGAGATGAAATCTCAATATTTTTTAGAGCATCTCATATATGGAACCATATAATATTCTTTTTTCTAACTAATCCTCAACATGCCCAAACATCCAAACATTTATTATATGACAACACTAACTCCACTCTTTTAAACATCAATAGCATTAAATGTAATCAAAACTATAATCAATCTCTTTCTCTCTCTCACTCTCTCTTTCTCTCTATTTCTCTTTTTTTCTTTCTCTCATTCTTTATCTATCTAACTATTTATCTATCAAACTATCTAATCATCTATCTATTTATATATCTATCTACCTATATATCTATGGATCT